GGTTGGGCCAGAAATAAAAGATACAAAAATCTATGGAAACCGCTTAGAAAACGTATTTCTGCATTTTTGCAGACTGACCGCTTGCGAGGGTCACAGATCATGATGGAGGATGTGCTGCCTGAAGACACCTGGGCTGGAATGCCTTGGGCACTAGACCCTCCCATCCAGCTTTGCTCCTTCTGGTGAACGGGGATGCCAGTGGCCCTCAGGCGCCCAGCAAGAAACCCAGAGCCAGCCCAACAGCCCTGACATTGCCTCTCCCGTCCCTTCACTGACCAGTTTCTCTGACCGGGTCCTGTCTCTAACCTTCCCCCTCACGGGCTGCTGACAGACACTCAGCAACCTGCATCCCACGTCTACTCGAGGCCCGCTGGCTGCTCAGGGCCACCCAGATCCCAGGTCCCACACAGCACCTGCAGTACCAGCCTCTTGGGACTCTCGCTCCTCCTGTCTTCCTCTGTTCACTTCCACTTATCCTTTGAGACCTGACTCGGCGGCATCACCTCCAGAGGTCTCCCCTGGCCCCTGACTAGATCCCTTGACGATGCCTGATTTGGTCAGGGGTCCCCAGCATCCTCGAAATGCCTCTGGCCTACATTCATCCCACCTTTACTCACCAAGAAGGCTGAGACCATGCCCACCTCATACCGACCTCAATGCTCCCGCCCCTCCTGTCTCCTCATAATGACAAGGGCCGCCAGCACCAGCACCCACAGGGGCCTTGATTCCGTGGGATCCACGACTGGCACAGGACGGGAGCAGTGAGCCCCTCCAGGGGGTTGCCAGCGGTCGCAGGTAGCAGAGAATCCCCACTGTGGCCCCACGGGGGCTGAGTGCCCACTGATACTCCTAAGTTTGTCCCCACAATCCAAATACTCCCCCAACCCCAGGCCCCTGTGATGTAAGCACAGCACACCCCGATAGGGACCTGACTTAGCCCCTGAGAGGCCAGTCAGTCTACACCCACCCACAGGCCACACTCTGGAGAGCCACAACACGATTTGTGGCAGGTGAGCAAACTACGAAAAATTACAATCATTGAGGGAGACAAACCATGAGAGACTCTTAACTCCAGGGAACAAACAGGGCTGCTGGAGGGAGGGGGTGGGGTAACTGGGGGATGGGCAGTAAGGACGGAAGTGATGTGATGAGCACTGGGTGTTGTACGCAACTGATGAGTCACTGACCTCCACCTCTGGAACTAACATGACACCATACGTTAACTAACTTGAATCGTCACTTAGTACTACTTAGTGCTTCAACACTGCTGTTCAACTACTAGTGTAAAACACAGGTCAAGTTTAACTGCCACAAACTTGGAAACATGAGCAGAGGGTGACAAACATGAAGGCTTCCGCTGCGTAGCAACCGCGATACTAGGGTGCACCACACGGCGTGCTCCACGGGGCACCGCTAAGCTGGGTCTATGTGAAAACAGATGTCAAAGCACCAGTGTGGACTCTGACGGTTCAGGTAAAATGCCCTTGGGATTTGAGAGCCAGACAGAATCTAAGCCAAGGGCAGAGAAAAGGCACAGTCCGGGCTCGCAGGCTGCTACCACCTCCTTGCCCTGGCCCAGAGCTGTGCCTGCCCCCCACACACTCACCGCCTGGCGTGCTTCTGCTCCCAGATCATGAGCACGCAGCTTACTTATCACCCTAAATTCACCCTAAATGTGGTAAATTCTTCCTTCTACCTAAACTTGTGCCTTTTAGACTCTGTCAGTTGCTTGTTCTGTTCTTCTCTGCAGCTGAAGAAACACAGCCCTTTCTAGGAATACGACTTCTTTAACGGACACTGCCGCTAACCAGACAGGAGGCGTCTAAGATGGAATGCTCCACATCATTCTGGGCTCTGTCTCAGCAGCTCCCCTGCTCTGTGCGGCTTCAGCTCGCTGCCCTCTGCCGAGATCCAGACACGCTGGCCGGTCCCCACTGCCACCAAGGGCATGAGGGGGGAAGAGACCCCTGTCCCTACCCGAGGAGACCCCAAACCTCCCCTCTTCTTGGTAAGACCTTCCTTCCCTGCCCCACCGAAAATCCACACTGGATCCCTCCCTGTTCATTTCTCCCATCACAAGTTGTGGGACTTCCTAGTTTATTTTGTTTACTACCCATCTTGCCCCATCAGGATGTGAGCCTATCAGCTGGTTCACCGCTGTACCCCAGGGCCTGCACTGGGGCCCGGCGCACAGTAGGTACTCGGGAAACACTTATTTTATTAAATAACAGACAAACTTTGGGAAATAAACTGTGTGTACATTCTGTTTATAAGTGAATCACAGTCTGGATTTCAATGATGTATTTTTTAATAATTAGAATAATGTAAGTGGGTCCATTTCTGGAGACTCTATTCTGTTCCATTGATCTAAGTGTCTGTTTTTGTGCCAGTACCGTACTGTCTTGGTGATTACAGCTTTGTAATAGAGCTGGACGTCCGGAATTGTGATGCTGCCAGCTTTGTTTTTCTTTTTCAACATTTCCCTGGCAATTTGGGGTCTTTTCTGATTCCATACAAATTTTAGGATTGTTTCTTCCAGCTCCATGAACAATGTCAACGGTATTTTGATAGGGATGGTGTTGAACGTGTAAATTACTCCAGGCAGCACTGACATTTTAACGATGTTTATTCTTCCAATCCATGAGCATGGGATGTTTTTCCATCTTTTTGTGTCTTCCTCCTCCATTTCTTTCATGAGTGTTCTGCAGTTTCTAGAGTATAGATCCTTTACCTCTCTGGTTAGGTCTACTCCTAGGTATCTTATGGTTTTTGGTGCTATTATAAATGGAATCGATTCCCTAATTTCTCTTTCTACAGTTACACTGTTAGTGTATAGAAAAGTAACTGATTTCTGTGCATTGATTTTGTGTCCTGCCACATTACTGAATTGCTGTATGATGTGGTTCATATGTACAATAGACTACTACTCAGCCATCAGAAAGGATGAATACCCACCATTTGCATCGACATGGATGGAACTGGAGGAGATTATGCTAAGTGAAATAAGTCAAGCAGAGAAAGTCAATTATATGGTTTCACTAATTTGTGGAACCTAAGGAACAGCATGGAGGACATTAGGAGAAGGAAGGGAGAAATGAAGGGGGGGAAATCGGAGGGGGAGACGAACCATGAGAGACGATGGACTCTGAGAAACAAACTGAGGGTTCTAGAGGGGAGGGGGTGGCGGGATGGGTTAGCCTGGTGATGGGTATTGAGGAGGGCACATTCTGCGTGGAGCACTGGGTGTTATGCACAAACAATGAATCATGGAACACTACATCAAAAACTAATGATGTAATGTATGGTGATTAACATAATAAAAAAAGAATAATGTAAGTTTAACATAATAAAAAAAGAATAATTACATACATGTAATGTATGGTGATTAACATAATAAAAAAAGAATAATGTAAGTAATAATTGCACTAAATACACAAAGGTCTTAATTTTTTCAGGTCTTTTTTTTTTTTTTTAAAAAAAAGAGAGAGGTAGAGAGAGCGCACAAGCAGGGGAACGTCAGGTAGAGGGAGAGGGAGAAGCAGGCTTCCCACTAAGCAAGGAGCCCAATGCGGGGCTCGATCCCAGGACCCCGGGATCATGACCTGAGCCAAAGGCAGACACCCAACCGCCTGAGCCCACCGGGTGCCCCTTTTCAGGTCTTGCTGGTGTGTCCTAACATTCTGTCAAACCGTACCCTGGTTTTGATCACCGCTTGCCCTTCTTTTTCCTCTACAAAGGGACGTGGGTGACAGCTGGGTGGCCCCCTCCTCCGCAGGTCATGGGAGCTTTCATTTCATAGCAGGAGAATGTACTGACAAAAAAGAGAAAATCTCAAGAAAGAAAACAGGTATCGAGACAAAGTGGGGTCAAGAGAGAGCCCTTCACAGTGAAAACTTGATACGTATTTCAACTGTCGATTAAACAAAACAACAAAAACGGGATTATTTAAAGCACATCACTAACTACTCGCATGAATGGGTTTCACCTTACTCAGTGCAGAGGCACATGGGGCTGGTTTGAATGGGACATCAGTTTAGGGCAGAGAAATGACACTGATGTGAAATTATGTGAATTACTGATTCCCATGTAGTATCCCTTTTTAGAAACGAGAAGGAAGACTCTGTATATCGCTCAAATACTGAATTTAAAAGACGAATAAATGGGATGCCTCGGTGGCTCAGTCACTAAGTGTCTGCCTTCTGCTCAGGTCACAATCTTGGGGTCCTGGGATCGAGTCCCACGTCAGGCTCCCAGCTCCTTGGGGAGCCTACTTCTCCCTCTGCCTCTGCCTCCTTCTCTCTCTCTCATGAATAAATAAATAAAATCTTTAGATTTTATTTATTTATTTGACAGAGAGAGACACAGCAACAGAGGGAACACAAGCAGGGGGAGCAGGAAAGAGAGAAGCAGGCTTCCCCCCGAGCAGGGAGCCTGACGTAGGGCTCAATCCCAGGACCCCGGGATCATGACCTGAGCTGAAGGCAGACACTTAACGAC